ATAATAACTAGGAGCATCCCTGCACTCTCCTCTCCTCTCCTCCACTCAGCCCTCTCATAGGAGAACTTCATTCACAATGAAGACATTTCAGTAAAGGGATGAATGTTAAGGGGGACTTTAGCATAACTAGTTTAATTAAACTACTCTAGACTTGATACCAGTGTCTGCAGGAATGAAACGGAGAAAGGGTGGCGACTAGGGTTTGGTCACACGTGGTTTTACAATCTCTCTCAGCATTCCCAGCCCCAACCCTGTCCTTGTGAGGGAAAGAAAAATAAGCTCAGAGGCTAAGAACTTTGAACGCCTGGAGCTAAAAAAGGCATTCTGATTAGGGATAGCAAGGGTTTTACTTAGACAACTTACTGAAAGTGAACTCCCAAGGGTGTTGATGTTTTCCTCTATCTTAGCAAGAAGAGAAAATTTTGACCTGTAAGGGCCGTATTGGGATATTTCTGAAAAATGAGCACTCTGAATGAGGTTTAGCTAAATTGAAATGCAGTTAACTTATTTTTCATTTTCTATTGCATGGGGGCAGAGTGGGATTGGTGTCCTCTTCTGTTATTTTTGTTTTGGTGAAATGCAGAAAAGTAGCTTTCTTTTGCCTGTGAAATATGTCCCATAATGATTATAACTCCATAGTACATGCAAGATCAGAAAGACTCATTTACAGCTACCTTTAACTTTCATTTAGTGTTAGCGTACATTTAATGCATAGGATTTTAGGCTTACCCAAAGCATTAATGTTCTATTTTACACAGCGTTAGTGCATAATTAACAAGGAGGGGTGACTTTCATAGGTCTCATGCTTGGATGGCCCTGTTCTCCTCATGCTTATAGGTGTTTTGTTCACAGCAGTTCAGTGTCCATGAGTCAAAATCAAAGACAAAGCTTTATATGTCAATCTTTATGGTGGCTTTGCTCTTAATAGAGTATCAACCTTAGTAAACCAGGTTAGATAAAAAGATAATTAAATTATCTTTTTCTCTTCCTAATTTGAAGCATGTTATATTCTACTTTCAGTGATGCTTATTAACAAATAGTTTTAACTTTTTAAATTTTTGCTAGTCATTATTACATAAAAGGTTAAATGTGATTTCTGGCAATGTTACATAAATACATGACTGTTAGTGGTGTTTTCCTAATTTTGCTCATAATTTAAGGCACAGATGTCTACTGCAGCTAATAAATACAGGATGGGGCAAAAGTAGGTTTACAGTGGTTTGTATGAAAAATATGTACAATAATTAATAAATAATACAAAAATAAGCTTTTGTATACTCACAACTGTAAACCTACTTTTGCTCAACCTTGCATAAGCAGGTTACTGACTGAAGGACTACAGACATCTGTGCACTGTAAGTTGTGTAGAAAACACTGAGGACTGTGAGGATATGACCAGTGCTGAGGCATCTTCCTGGAAGGCATCGTCTTCCTTTGGAAGGGTTAGTTGTAATGATGCATTGACTTGTAGTAATGATGCCTTAGTTGACTTTTTACATGACAGAGTAATAGAAAACCCAGATCCTATATATATAGCCATAGGTTTGGTAGACAATAACATGTGGTTTATAAAAATAAGATTAAGATGAAATTGTTTGTGTCTTCTTGAAGGATAAGAATAAAATATAGGAGGATATTGTACATTAAAAGTGGCTTTGATTTTTTAGATCATAGTTTTAGTTTAAGTAGAAATGTTCTGTTTCTGTTTTTATGAAGAAAGGAACTGTGCCCTGGCCACGTGGCTCAGCTGGTTGGAGTGTCATCCCATACACCTAACGGTTGGGGGTTTTATTCCCAGTCAGGGCACACACCTAGGTCACCGGGTCCTGGGTCAGGGCATGTACAGGAGTCAGCTGATTGATGATTCTCTCTCACACTGATGTCTCTCTGTCCCTCTCCCCCTTCCTCTCTCACAGTCAATAAATGTGTTCTTGGGTGAGGATTAAAAAAGAGAGAGAAGTGAACCGTACCTTAGCATTAGCAGGGGTTTCATCTGTGCACTGTGTCTTTCTTTACACTCCCAGGGCCTTTCTGAAGTTGTTTGGGAAGAAAAGTTTTTTCATAATCTAAAGACAAATTGGTGGTTAATATGGGGACTCAGTCTTTTCTGTTTGGTTAAAAAAATAATAGCCCTTTTCTGATTTTGTTTCTTGTTTTGGTTTGTGTCGTGAGAAGCTTCTACTGAACTTCACTTTGCAAGTATTTACAGTTTGGAAGAAGAGTGTTACCTGCATCAATGCCTGTGAATGAGAATGTTCTTTAGCTCGAGTTTGATTTAAGAGCAGTGTTTTTTGGGGATTGGTTTCACCATATTTCATTGTTTATTTATTCTGTCCATAGCTGACTGTGGTTTGCTAAGTATTTCAGTTTTCATTAACATTTTAAAATGGAAAGTTGTTTTTAATTTGAAATACAGCAGTAAAATCTTTTGACTTAGTTTTCAAGCTTGCCTTTAAAACTTGAGCTTTTGAAATCATTTTATTTGATTAAGTTGTAGAATGAGGAAAATAAATTTGAGCTCTTTACTTACAGTCAGCGCACAGCGTGATGGACAGACTTCCGGCTTCAGCTTTATTTGCATAAGAGAAGCCATCATTTTATTACTTTCCAGAATTTGTTTCTGTTTGTTCCAAACAGCCTTATGCTGTCTCATAAATGACTAGAGCATACTTTTAAAATTGTGTTTCACATTTAATATTAATAATACGTTGAAATTTCAGTATAGTTAAAATCGGTTCATACAATACTCTGCCCCGGAGCCAAAGACCACAAAAAAGGTCTTGGTTGTGCGGTTTCCTCTGCCTTTTCCCTCACCAGCAGAGGTTTTCCTATCTTGGCAGCTGTTTCCTACAAGGCAGTCATCGGTCCCTGATTTCTTCCTTCCCTTTCTTCCCACAAACAAGGACTCTTTTCAAAGAGCGGGTGACTGAAGACAGACTGATCTTGGATTGCTTCAGAAAAGCAGAAATGTGTTCAAGAGTTGAGCATGTGGGCAAGCAGCCTATATGCATTAGTTCATTGAAATGAAAATACTCATTACAACCAAAACTTGGACAGTCAGAACTCTTGGCTTGAATCAGGAGCATTCCAAAGGCTCACTTAATTTTACTGGTAGTAATGAATGTACCTCATTCACACATTAAAATTATGCTGCTTGCTTCATCAGGTCATTGAACAGTCTACAGAGTATAAGAAATTGTTCATTGGTGAGACTTTCCGATGTGACAGGCCATGAACTTGTCTTACTCTGTTTATGCTTTTCCATAAAAGAGCCTGCAGTTTGAAGGCAGAAGCTTTGCCACAGCAGTAGTACACTGCAGCTTTACTTTTGGTTTTGCCTTTTGCATGGTCTTTGGGAGCTCAGAGAAAATGGAAAGACAGGGCTGGCCAGTTCTGCATGGTTGTGTGCCTTACGTCTCCATCACATTAATTTTCTTGTATCATTCTTCTTCTTATAGTTTTGGCATTCAGAGAAGGAAACATGCCCTTTCTTTTGTTTTTGTTTTATTTCTTTGGACGGAGAAGCATCTGAGGTGTTCTCAGAACTGGGTAATATGCGTTCTGACTTTCCTCATTATGATACCTACTTATCTTTAGAGATTTCAGAGAATGCTTTAAAAAAGGCTAATTAATGGTTGCAGAGGCATATATGGGGAAGTGGTTTCATCTCGAACTATAAGCATGGTAAAATAAAGCTCTTAGTACAGAACAATCTTGCTAGTTTAATCTGTGATTTTATGAAACTTTACATTTAAAAACTAGATAATAGCTTCAGATTAATTACTTACTTTCTTTTTGGTGTGCTTGTTGGATCCTTATGGGCTGGTCAAAATTGTACTTGGCTCGGGTTTTATATTTTTGCCACCTCTCCCAGTTTTTTTTTGAATAGAAATGCAGTCTTGGAGATAAAATAATCATTTTATGGGGTTTTTATTTTGGTCCAGTGGGTGTGGATCAACCTACTCAAAGATGTAGGTTTGATCTTACTAACTTATAACTTGCTGTAAGAAAAACTAATATATGAAAACCTTCGCAGTGAATTAGTTAAGAGGCTTTATTAAACTGCTCCCTTAATGAATAGTAGTAATCAGAGAAATAACAATTTGATATGTGGTGTTTTTGAAATGCCATAATTTTATTATAAAATACAACCATAGTTAAATTTGTGCACCCTTGTGTAGACAAAGTTTCATTATCTCTCTATTTTTCAAGGTAACATGATAAAATTGCACATAATGTTGCTGTTACCATTACTAGAAACAAAAACACAAAAGTATATGTATTTATAAAATTTTGTAGAGTTGTTATAGATTAAAGCTATTTCAGGGAACCCTTGAACATTATGGAAGTTGGGGTGGTTGAAAAATTTGTGTGTAACTGTTGACTTCCCCCAAAACTTAAAGTTCTCTCTTGTTACCTCTGGGGATTAGTTCTAGATCACCCCCCATCCCATCCCATGTGGATTCCAAAATCAGGGATGCTAATGTCTCCTATATAAAATGGCAGAGAACAATGCATACATTTGGCCCTTTGCATCTGTAGACTCCCAGTGATGAATCAAAAACAGTACTGGTTTTATGGATACTCTGCGGACTCTCACAGTTAAAACTTGTCTTGTTCAATGGTGGACTGTAATTTAATTAAAAGGCTAATATTTGGCCTAGAACAACAGATGACTTATCCTAGATTGATGTTCTAAGCTTTTCAAAGGAACATTCATCATTAGGGGTTTAATTATTATGTGGATTCCCGTGTTCTGGTTCTCTATATTTATTTTCGGGGTTTTGATCATTTTTGAGGTGTGAGGCTCAGCTATTCAGCCTATAGGCACAGCTTCCATATTGGATATAGAATCAAAATATATACTTTAAAAATACATACACTTAGGAGAGAGAAGGAATGAGGAAATGAAAAGAGAGTTATTATTGTTAATACTATTTTTGCATATTTTGTAATGTACCAGTACCATAGAATAAATGATGGATTTGTTTGTTTTTCAGATATGAAGATCAATGATGCAGACTGCTGGGTTCGATGAAGCTGGGCATTTATAACTAGATTCATTAAGGAATACAAAGAAAATATTTAAAGGGATCAATAATGGTGTCTTCTGGTTGCAGAATGCGAAGTCTGTGGTTTATCATTATAATCAGCTTCTTACCGAACACAGAAGGTAAGATGCAGTTTACAGTTTATTTTTCACATCCAGGAGACTGAAACTATGCAATCTGACTTATATAGACGTGGCCAGAGAGTATTATTTTATGACTTTACAAATAGTTGTTAAAATGATTTTCTGAATGTTGAATTATTTTCATTAGGTAGCTATGTATTATAGAAAGTGTTGGAAGTCTGAACTTACATTTAATATAAATTTATAAATACAATTGTAAATGATCCTTAGAGAAATAAATGAAATCTTTGTTTTGGTTTAATATTTCACATTTATTGACTAAATTTATTTTAGTAAAATTGCCACATATTTTGTGGTAACTCTTTCACTTCACCTCTGCATTTGTCTGCTTCTTGTGTGTGGTCATAGTTCTAAAACTACTAAATAAGATTTTATACATCCCTGGAAAACATTTTTATAGTGCTTCCATTTTAATGTTATGTACTACATCTTTTTGATGACCGATCTGACTTTTAAAGAATTACATACACTTTCGAGGCTTAATGAAAGTATAAAATTTCATTGCCATAATTTGTCAATTACTATATGGATTTCCTGGTATCCATTATTTTTATAAATACATTACTTCCAACTGAAAATAGCATCCTTCCAGGTGCTTTTTACAGAGCAGGTCAGAAGTTACTGTGGAACTCAAATGCCACTTGATAGTGGTAGTTGTATGCAGTGTGAAAATACATGAATCTTGTAAGATCTGTAAAGAGTACAGAATCCCTGATAAACACATGTAAAATATAATGGATAATTTTGGCCCCAATTAAATATTTGTGAAGAAAATGTTTTAGAATTGTAAAATTGGCTTCATAGGTATTTTTAAGTGATCACATTTCTATCTATTGCTAAAATGATAGGTGGAGGAACAGGTCTACTGTCATCTAGTAGGATAGAAGCAAGCTTATTATTCCCATGTCTTTGTGATAAGCTTCAACATGGTAACATGTTAATTTTGCCAAAAGAATTGTATTTGAATTGCTTGTTCCAAAATAATTTTATATTCTCTCCTTGTCTTCAAAGTTCCCTACTTTCAATATGTTGACATAACTTAATAATACAGTTCAAATAAATAACACATTTAGGCACATTTTAAAATCAGAATTTCTATAATCAGAAAGTACACCATGTTTACTTGTATTTAAGTCACACATGAAAATTACAAATATGTTCATATTTTGTTTCCAGAAGATACTGCTCTTTGCATCAGAATTGAAAGATACATGAAATCTAACATTAAAATGTAATATGTCTGAATGAAGAGTACTGTAATGATAAACAGTGTGCAGAAACTGAGTTTAATAATGAGAATCTCTGACTTGGATCACTATAAAAATCCTGAGTGTATTCTATAATTTTGTGTCTGGTTTGTTTGGGGGGAGAAACTAACTGAATTCCTGCTGTTATATTTGAATTATTTTATACATTGCGGAAAGATTCCAGGTGTGGACGAATGGCTCATTAGTCCACATAATGAAAAATTTTTCAATGAAGACTACTTTGCTGGCACAGTAGCTTAACTCAGGAGAGTGCTAGCAAACAGAGTTTTTCAGGAGATACTGCAGTTTTATTTCTAGTGTGACCTATCAGGTCAGGATTCATATCTGCTGTTAAGAGAAATTTCATTTTTGGCACATCGGGCCAGGGGGCATTGCTTTTGAAGCAGTTCCCTCCTACGGGTGAAAAGACCCTGGGACAAACACACAGGGGCTAGTTGTGGGAGTGTACACAGCTAACGCTCACACTGTCAGACATTGATCCAGCGTTCCGTGGTTTTGTCTTAGAAAAGCCTTACATGACATGATAGTACCTAGATTGCCAGAAAGCAGTATGCTCTGTGAACACCTATGGAGAAAACCAATCGAAATCATGCATTAGATAGAGCACAGGAAAGGGGATATAAATTTAATGATTCAGCCATTGAATGCTTTCATTGTCCTTAAATGATTGCTACTTTTGTGTCAGTCCGTAGATCCCCGCAGAAAAACTCAGGCAAGTTTTCCTGGGTAGTTTCCTCCCTCCTCCCTCATTGTACTGAGTGACTGGATTGAGCCAGGTGCCGAGGATTCAGAAATGCACAGGACACAGTTTCTGCTCCCGAGCTCCTTGTCTTGTGTGCCGCGGTGGAAACTTCAAATACGTGTTGGGGCCAAGCAGGCAGAGTAGCTTGATTGTGTGTTGCAGATCAGTGGAGGTCTGCAGCAGGCAGGAAAGTGCTTGCTGGGGAACTGTGACTGCCATTTATTTTAGCCTGGTTTTGCCAGTGCTCTGGCTTTACAATACAAAGCAGACATTAGATTTTTAAGTAATAGTAACTAATCAAGTTTAAAATCAAAACAAGCCTTTGTACTGTATTCAGCTGTGAACCATGCCTTCCTTTTTTATAACTTTCTTTTCTCCTCTTAACAGTTGTGTTTTACCTTAGTATAATTTTGAAGGTGTAATATATGATTTGGATTTATATTACATCTATACATATGAGAGGTAAATTTCTACATTTGCAAGAAGGACTTATGTGTTCTGTGTTCAGATGAACATACATATGCCATGTTCTGTGTGCATAAAACTAATCACTAAGCATTTTTAATAAGTTTTATGTATAAAGGTCTAATTGTTAGAATTAGCTCATTTCTTCCTCTCTTTCAATTAGTATTTAAGAATCAAGTCTTACCCATTAAAATATACTTGTTTTTTAAAAACAGGAACATTTTATTTATTCTTTAAGTCTCTTCTCCCTGTGTATTTTTGAAAATTGTTTAGAATTTCCAAATAAAAATGATTATAAAAAACTAGACTTCAAAATATTTTGTAAGTTTTTCTTAGAATTCATTTTATTCCTAGAGAACTAACCTCAAGGCCTTCAAAAATCAGTTTTGTTGAGAAACTGGTGTGTTTTGATTTTTTTTGACTGATTTTTATAAGCATAGTAACCCACAGTGGAATCATGCATCAGTAAGTAGGAAAGTAAATTGAATTTTTGTGTCCTAGAGAATTAAATTATGGTATATAATGGAGCCCTGGAAAGTATAAGTCAGACATAGGAAGGCTTGCTCAAGTGACAAGTGACAAAGAATAGCAGTTCTTCAGCAAAGTCAGTAATATGGATTTCAGGTTCCATTTTTTATGTGGTCTGTATGTAATTGGATTTCTTTAGTCAAATATTTAGTCAATTAACTCAAATTACATTTTTGCTTATCTTTACTTCAAAGAAAAAGATTATGCCAGGTATAAATGCCAGGTATTCCAGGTAGAGCTATACATGTTTATTTTATATACATCAAGACAATTGGAGAACATAGCTGTAGAAATAGTATTGTGCTGGTTTTTAATCTACTTTCAGATTATTTAAGCACATGTACAATGCCTTTTATGTAAATGATACCTTACTGAAAAGGAATGTTTGGTTGTGAAGTCTTTTCTCTTTGTGTGGCAGGAAAAAGTAGATCTAGGGGTTAAATAGGAATTAGAATATAAATTTTTTGGCATATAAAGATTTCCCTCAGAGTGGTCTATAATTGAATGGAAGGAATAGATTTGTTCTCCAGTGTTAAACTTAGGAAGTATTGAAATAATTCAGAATTATATTTTTATCTTATTAGTTCCATCATTCTTTTATTAACACATATAACAAAGTATGTAAAATTTATATTGGCACACATATACAGTATGCACAGTGTGTTGGCATGTGAGCTTCATAGGGACCTTCTTATTTTTCTTTTTGGTTCATCGATGTGTTCAAGTTCCTAGAATAATGCCCAGCTTATTCTAGTGAGCATACATTCTATACCCACCACATAAATAGCATAAATCTTGGAAAGAGGGTCATGGTTTTAATCACTAGAAAAGGGACCATAAACAGTCATAGTAACGAGGTAAGTGCTGTGAGGATGCTTTTCCAGAGGCATGGATGTGAAGGGTAGTTGTGTGTGTGTGTCAGGAAGTAATGATGCTTCAGCTGACTCTCAGTAGGAGCTGAATAGGCTAATGACAGTGGTGAACATAGTTGTGGAGGAAAAAAGTCTCAATGGAGAGAAAATTCCATGGATATGAAATAAACAACAACAGTGCTTCTCAAACTATAGGGCCAGCAGAATCACCTAGAAGGTCGGGGGCAGGGCCTAAGAATTCCCATTTCTGACAAACTTCTCAGGGACACTGGAGTTGCTCAGCATCACACTTAAGAAGTGCTGTAGTATTGTAATGTGGGTGAAAGGGGCGAGGCATTAGGGGTGTGTGAGTGTGGTATAAAGTAACTTTTTAAAAGCTTTTTTAAAAAATACGGTTTAAAGGGTCACCAGTTCGAATCCCAATCAGGGCACACCTGGCTGGTGTGGCTTGGCGGACTGAGTGCCGCCTGTGAACCAAAAAATAGGGTTTAATGCATCATGATTCAGAAATTGTAACCAGTTGTTTACAGGGAGTTACTATCTGTAATTTTTCATATGGCTCTTTAGACTCTGTTAAAGCTCCTTGGGTATAATTCTAGGCTTCAAAAAGGAATTACTTTGTTACTATTTTCTGACAGTGTACTAAGAAAGAAAAAAACAAAATGGAAAACTGTCTCCAGATTGGAAAAAGAGAACATATTTTCTGTTAAGGGGAAATGTGACATTTTTGGAACTCCTAAAGCCTTGCTTTAATTTGTCTCTTTTCATTGTGATAACCTTGTTCTTTTTCTTGTTGAGAGTAACTGCATGCCAATTGCTATGATAATGCTGAATTAACTTACTGTGGGGACTTTAGATTTCCCAGTCTAGCAAAATTGACTATTTTTGTTCATTTCAGTATATTTGATTATCTAAAAGCGGGGAGGTAAATTTTCAGCAAGGTGCGTGGGGATGTGGTTGTATGACTCTTACTAAACTTAATGGAGTTACAACTCCCATTAAATTAATAGGAATTATACAGCATATCTGTGATCACTGTGTAGCAAATGCAGCCTAATTTTTTAAAGTCACAAATTATATAAATTAACATTCTATTAAAACAAT